GTTGACTTTTCAACCCAGTCAGTAAGTGTGCTCCTTGTATCATTCATGTAATGGATGAGGTTGACAACCCTACCTGAGTTGCATACCCTTTTGTACTAAACAAGCTTGTCATTGCATTTTATGAGACAAGTTGATCCATTGGAGGATCATGAAAAATCATGTACAGGAGTTCCACTAGTTAGATTTTGAGATAAATGTGATTTTTTTGTCCCAGATATCTGAGTTCTAAGTTCCATTGACCCTAGTTTTATATTCCTGCAATTTATTGTTAGTTCTACTAGTTAGGTTTTGAGATAAATGTGAATTTTTTATTCGGTATATCTGAGTTCTAAGTTTCATTGACCCTAGTTTTATGTTCCTGCAATTTATTGTTTCCATTCTCTTTCTTTATCCATTCCAATTCAGAAGGATTACATTTGTGAATTTTATAGTAAATATATGTTTCTGAGTTAGGTGGCAATAAAATTCCAATGTTGCATCACACAAATATCTTAATGCAAGACATGTATACTTTTTTATAGATCATGTTGGTTAACTATTTTGTTAATTACTTTTTATTTGTGGAAACTATGGAGCAATATCTGTAGAGTGTGTTGTTGATGCTGCTGATTCATTTTCTGTATATAAATCATATGGAAGGCATATCTAAGTATGTACAAGCCAAACAAATGATTTGCAGGCAATATGCCTCCCACCATATCCATCTTAAATGCTGTTCAGTTGATTTAGATTAGTAGGTAATAGTACTACATGTCATGAATACTACAGATGGAGACTATTTGATGTCCATTGTGTGTCAATTAGTGTGATCAGGTGAAAGAATCGCCAAGTTATCACGTTTCAAACTGTGTTCTCGACATGTTTGATGCATGCTGTTTGCTTGGGGTGTTCTAATGCTGGATGATCTTCGGATATCTGCATTACCAGTAACGTGGTTGCTAGCTATTAAATATTCGAGTTGTCTAACTTACTGGATTTGAAGTCAATCAAGATCTACTTCCAAACCTATCTTAAGTTGAGATGTTAGGAGTCTAGGGATTAAGGTCAGGACAAGGGGATTCTTGACTAGTACATTAGCGAGGGTTCTAAAAATTTGATCGATTGAAATCATGATAATGATAAGAATGATTATGTGTATCATTCGATCATCAATGGGTTAGGGTTGTGATTATGGAATAACAGCTTTGTTGAGATAGCTTCTTTATCAAATGCATAGTTCCACTTTGTGGGGTTGAGTTGATATCTCCATTGATGTTATATTGTTGATATTATGGAATCAACTCTTGCCTAACATATCATCATCTTTGTCGGTGTCATAGCATTGATCTCGTGAAATTAAGTATTGATTGATATATCCATCGAATAGGTGTGACGTTGCTTATGCATCATGCTCTTCATATCAATTGATATATCAAGTTTCTGCTCCCCGGTCACGATCATGTCTAATTATTCTTTTATATCACTCGTTCACAAGGAAATCGGCACGTAATTAATATCGTATTGCGTCGCGACAATTCATGAAAGCTCTGTTTCGTTCTCAGGGAATTCGACAAGCAGTAAAAATAGCACAATCTGTCACTATGATTCAGTGAAAGCTCTGCTTTTCTTGTCGGCCGAACAACGAAAGCCCTGCGAAACAACAAGTTGGCAAGTGTTCTTCCATCGTCGACGTGGATTTGACTTACAAGCCAATGAAGTCGTCATCATCTGCTCCAAATAATCTCACAACTACATCGATCACTATTGCTTAGCATTGGTGCGGTCAGACTTTTGATTCTTGTCCTGCGAGACCATGTCGTGAATCGATACCGTCATGACCTTTGTGACAATGCACGACATGACATGCAGTCGTGGTACAGCCAACGATGCGCCGGCAGCATCACCGTCCGTCTCCCGTGACTCCCGATGTCAACACCCATCGCAAAGCCACACGCATCGCGCAGTTCCAACGCTCGACTTCCGATGCTAACACGAATCTCAAAGCCACATGCATCGTCCAACTCCAACCTACGCCAAGCGGGCACCACAACTTTGACCCTCCGACCCCGTACCTCAAGGCAGCAGGGCCCCACCTTTGGACCACACGACACCACACGACACCACACCACGAGGCGCCGCGCCCCACCCACCCAATTGCAACACTACCACGTCCTTTTACTCTTTTGCCCCTGGGATACACTGAACCAGACGCCGTCTCCCCCGTCCCGCGGCGGGACCCGACCTCATCCCCCCCCCCCACCATCTATTCTTTTACGGCGAGAGGGGAGACGCATTTGGACTTGGACGCACTCCCAATGGCACCTCCCGTGAACAAGTCCTTCTCATCGGGGCATTTCCAGAATTTTATTTAGCCGCCATCCTCTGTCGCCGTCCTTCTACGTGGACTTTGTAACTCGGGCTGTCGACCATCCTACGGCAGACGCCTCACCGACGGTCTCTATCACGTGTCACTTCTCTTAAAGGGTAATAGTAGTTTTAGTGGGAAGATTAAAAGAAAGCTTTAAATATTTCCCTTTGATTATTAAATGTAATATTTGATTAAGGTTAAACTTAGAGAATAAGAGACAGAGCTGAGAGTTGAGGGCTATAAATGCGGATGGGAGAGGTGGGATCGGGGGAAACGGTGAAGTGTTGCAACGGCCTTGCTTTGAGGTTCCCATTTCTCTGATCCGAGGCTTTTGGTCCGTCCCACAGATCCAGTTGCGCCGGTTCAGGGGGGCGAAGATGTGTGGCGGAGCGATCATCTCCGACTTCGTGGATGGTCGTGATGTCACGCCGGACGACGAACTCCAACCCCGTCACGGTAACGCCCTTCTTCTCGTTCGGTTGCTACTGCTTCAGCTTCTCATGGTGCAGTGCTGATCTTTTGTCGCAGGGGAAGAGGGCGAGGATACGAAGACTAGGGCTGCGGGGCAAGGGGAGAGGCGGCGGAAGACGTTGTACAGGGGGATACGCAGGCGGCCGTGGGGGAAGTGGGCGGCGGAGATAAGGGACCCGAGGAAGGGGGCGAGGGTGTGGCTGGGGACGTACGGGACGGCGGAGGAGGCGGCGCGGGCGTACGATGCGGCGGCGCTGGAGATTCGGGGGAGCAAGGCGAAGCTCAACTTCCCGGACGCCGCTGCCGCCGCGGGCGGGGACATGGCGGCGGTGCCACCCAAGAAGCGGAGGGCCGGGGCCGCGGAGGCAGGGTCGGGAGAGGTGAGCTCGGCGTCGTACTGTGCGGCGCCGGAGGCGTCGTTGGAGGAGGGGCTGCGGGAGCGGATCTCGAGCTTGGAGACGTTCCTGGGGCTGGAGCACCAGGAGTCGGCGGCGGGCGAGGTGGCTGCGTGGGGTGATGTCCGTTTCGTTTGAACGATCGTGATGGACGGCTGAGATGTCGATGGTGGCAATTCTGTAGTTTCTTTTTTTTTCTCCTTCTTGTCCTACAAAAGCAAAAAAGGAAAAAAAAAATCCGTATTTTATGGTTAAGATTAACGAACGGTAAATATGATTAGTGGTTGGATGGTCGGATGTGGTGGTCTTATAATTCCCTTTAGATCAGCTAAAATTAATTCTCCACGAATATCTAAGCACGAGTTTTCCTTTTATAATCTTAACAACAGAGAAATTAATTAAATCTTTGTTCATGAAGAAAGGAAGAAGATAAAACAAAATGAATTTATAGATTATTTTTTTAATCTTATAATGTTTACAATCCAATGACTCGAGTTTCTGATGACATTAGGATCGATGTCGATTCTTGTATTTGTCGGGTGTTTTGCTTGATATAAAGTGGAGTCATGTTGCATGGCGATTGAATGTTTCCACAAACAACTAAGTTATTCAACGTGTCATGTGATTTATTAACTAACATCTTAACATTAAGTCTATCATAATACTCAATCGGATGTTTTATGAGCTCAATATGTCGGACGGGTAAACGTAAATTTTATTATTCAAGTAACATTTCATGTTCGAATAATATCCGATAATTTAAGATCTGAGAAGCATCTTAAGAACTCCTCGCTTAGGAACCCAAAGTAGAAGATAACTGTGTAGATCGACTGTTGAACCAACATTGGATAAGTCTCTTCTGCAATGAGGTTTTATTTTTTTTATTTTTATTTTGAATTCTTGCTTACAAATTAGCATACCTACAAATGTCGATAATCTCTATTTCATGTGTTTTTATAATATTTTTATTACAATTCGATTTGATGAGATAATTAATATGTAAATATCGTTTATCTTATATGATTCGTTGATGGTATAACTGGCTTATGTCTTGTGATATCCTTGGTATAGCGATTCAATCTGATAGGATAGTTGATCGATCGATCTGTGACTCACTCGTGAGTGAAAGGGCGAATCAAAGATGCATATAGTTTATCTACTCCACTAGGCAGCTTAAGATCATGAATCCAAAGTTGCCACTAGGCAGTTTAAGATTATGCCACGTGGCATGGAGGTATATAATATAATGGGTAATTACAGATTACTCAATTAGTTATGTATTTCAATCTCTATATTTTAAAATTTTATATTAATATAATATATTTATAAAAATAAAATATTTAATCTCGTTTCTCCTCATATTATCAATTAAATATACAATGCATACTATCACGTACAAAAATAACATTAAAAAAAATAAAATGATAATTTTGATCATGAGCCATCAATCTTATACGAAATCGGATTAGTTAGGTATGATAGCGAAGCAAAAGAAATAAGACGGTTCAGGAGATGATGATCATCACTAACATCGTGATTGAGTAGATCGTCCAAAAGGATAAGGAAGTAAAAGAAATGAGGATTATCATTCAAAAATAATAATAAAGTTGAAACGGAGAACAAAGTCAAAGGGAGAATAAAGTTGAATGATGAGGATCGAAATTATATATATTTTTATTTTTTAATATTATTTTTACGTATGTATAGTATATTTTATCAGTAAATTTACTGTATGATAAAAAATAAAAAATAAATATTTTACTTTGAATGAAGTTTCTAAAACGGAAGCGGGTGGTGAGCATCGGCGGAAGCAATCAGGATCCCAACAATTTAACTGTAAATAGCCCAATATTATGGCGTGCAGTTGCCTTCGGCGAAAGCAATCCGGATCCACTCACCCACGATGTTGCGTGTCGCTCGCGCCCTCCGCTCTCGTCTTCCCCGCAGCGGCGCCTGCCGCGCCGTCTCCACCGCGGCCCCCACGCCGACGGACGACGGCGCAGGCGAAGGGATCTCGCACCGGATGGTGTCCGTGAACGGTATCAATATGCACGTGGCCGAGAAGGGGGAGGGCCCCACGGTGCTCCTCCTCCACGGCTTCCCGGAGCTCTGGTACACCTGGCGCCACCAGATGCATGGCCTCGCCGCCTGCGGGTTCCGCGCCGTCGCGCCCGACCTCCGTGGCTTCGGTGACACCGACGCGCCTCCCGCCGCCGCCGCTTACTCTATACTCCACATCGTCGGTGACCTGATCGCCCTCCTCGACTCGCTTGGCCAAGACAAGGTGATCGAAGCATTGGATTCTCTTTGTGTCGAATTGCGTGTGCTCGTTGGTCCAAGTTTGTGTTCTTGTTCGATGGCGACAGGTGTTTGTGGTGGGGCACGACTGGGGGTCGATGGTGGCGTGGAATCTGAGTATGTTCCGGCCGGACAAGGTGAACGCAATGGTGAATTTAAGCCAGGCCTTCACCCCCCGAAACCCAACGAGGAAGTCGCTGGAGTATCTGAGGACTGTCTTTGGAGATGATTACTACATGTGCCGGTTCCAGGTGTTTACTTATTTCTCCATTTTCCAACCTAGCACTCAATTGAGGTATTATGAAGCCTCTTTTTCTCATCTAATTTCTTTGGATCTATAATCGGTTACTTGCTTGCAAACAAGGTTGATTCCTTGGCCTCATTCATGGGAAGTTGTACATGATGATTTTTTTGTTCACCAATGGGTACACAAATCAATGGCTCTTGCTTACATCTTTAGTTGTACACCATGACTTTTTTCTCACCAATGGGTAACGGATCTATCGTTCTTTCTCATTGATAAATCTTGATATTAATCACATAGAATTACAATTCATGCTGTGGGTGTGTGTGTGAGAGACAGAAATGTTCTATCTATGCACTTCTTAAAAAGAATTCATTGTCTGTGGATCCGTGATTATATAAGCATAGGATACCAACAAGCTTTTGTTTCCTACACAATAATGTGCTTATTATTGGCTGCATGTTACAATCATGTTGACAAAAAGCCTTATCACTGAGTCAGCTGCATGTTATGAATCACCTGCATATTTTATTGATTTTCCATATATGAAGGACTTAAGCCTAAAGGTCTTGCATTTTTCTTTTTTCGTTTCCAAAAATGAATTACTTATGCCTCTTAAATCTTGTTCTCCCTGTTGCTGGAGGTTATTCACAGAAAGCTAACTGATCATTATCAACAAATCGATGTATATACGGTTTGCAGCAGTCATCTTTATGAATGTACTTACTATTCACAACAACAAATTTGGAAATGGGGTTAGTGCATACTATTCCAACAATTTAATTATTCTCTTTGGGTTTGGGAATGAGGTTAGCCTCAGTCATCTTTCGTATGTTTGTTGAGGACATCTTGCTATTCATCCATGCTTCAGGTCAGTAATATAGAAATCTTGCGAAAATCTTTGGCAATAAAAGTGACCTCTATTATATTATGCTATAATTCTAATATGTGATCCTAGTGGTGGTGCTGGTGGCGTCTATAGTGAATGCAATTGTTACGGTGGTAGGAAGGGTGCTGGTGGTGGGATGATATTGGTTGCAGCCACAGAATTTATGATGGCAACAACTTTGGTTATGTTGAAGATAGTGTTAGCAGCAAAAATGATGGACATAAAGTGGTGTGGTGGTTGTGGCAACAACAAACAGTAATAGTGTAGCACCATGGTAGTGGTGAAAATACAAATAGTGAAAATTGAATGGCGACGGGATGGTACTGAGTACTGACTGTGGTGATGGTGGTAGTGAAGGTAACATCCATGATAGTGATGATGGTGGTGATGACAATAATGTAAAAGTGGTCCTATTGTTGGTGGGAAGATGGTGACAGAAGTATCAACAACAATTGTAATTATAATGATGAAAAGTCTAGTATAGAAAGTATTGGAGGCTTGGAGCATATGTAATTCTTTTAGTCTATGTAAAATTTTAAAAATCAGGGAACTAGTTTTCCAGGAGAACTATTTACAGGAGTACTCTATTTTTCTAGTTTCTGAGAAATGTTTTTGTAAAAACTAATAGTTTTCTTATAAAGTAAACCTGCTTTCGCCCTTTCAATTGTTATTGAAGTATCTAGAGGAAGAACTGAGTGCAAAAACATGTAGATATATGTGAAGACTTATGTTAATTTTTCACTGTGATTAGAAACAACAGATGTTTCCCTCACCAAAATTCTATTGTTCAGAGTGGTATTTACAAGTACTTGTAAATTAGAGAGCATCAAATGATAACTGTTTCTTATCCAGTAACCATATTCTATGATATGTATATATTTTTGCACTTCAATATCTTTTCCTTGGATCGACATGATGGTATTTGGTAGTTCCTGGATCGTACCTTAGATTTTAGACACTTTGCTCCATTCTCAAGTAACTTCTTTTAGTTATTTTTTTCCTCGCCAAACCAAATTAGATAATCAGTGTACAAATTAAAGTGTGCATATTTTTGCTATTCTGTAGAACTTACATTTATGTCATTGGACCTGCATTAAATTCAGAAGCAAATCAAAATGTTGTTAATCTCATTGTATGAATTTATACAATTTGTAGGAACCTGGAAAAATAGAAGCAGAATTTGCTCGCCTTGGTACTGCATGGGTACTCAAGAAGTTTTTGACATATCGCAACCCAGGTCCCCTTTATATTACAGAGGATCAAGGGTGGGGTAGCTCTGATTCCAAGATTCTTTTGCCTTCTTGGCTATCTGAAGTTGACATCAACTATTATACAAGCAAATATGAGAAGGCTGGTTTTACAGGAGGTTTGAACTACTATCGGTCTTTAGACTTGTAAGTTGGCCATGATTTCTGCTCTATGCTATATTGAAATACTTAGAGCAACGTAAATTCCTAGTTCCCTATTTATTTGTTAGTGCTATATTTTTGTAACATGTATTAGAAAACTAAATTGTTTCTTCGTTAATCACTTGTCATATGCATTTGAAATACTTCACATTGCATAAGGTAGAACAGTTGTAGGTCTTTGATTCTGTATAGCAGAATTGGAAGATGTGAGCAGTTTCAACCTGGTTGATGAATAGACTTAAGTATGTTGCAATAAAAATAATAAAGCAATTGATGTCGAGAAAGAGATAATCAATAGCCCATAGAAAGAAGTTGCATTGCGAATTTACACTTGTACTCCTTATTGGTTAAAGAAATTTAAATCTGAGCAAGCCCTAAATTCTGTGTTAACTGTTAGCTTTCACCTCATCAACCTCTGGTAGACATGTCAAAAAAGTTATATTACTCGGTTGCTTGGTGAGGTAATCTGGTAGGAGATGCAAAATCTGAATTTGGATGTTCATTTTTGATAGGTCTAGTTGTTAGATAAAAAGGACCAACTTTAACTCTTTTTTCCACCGTGAACACAGTATTCCCAGTAGCAAGTTTCAGAACAGCTGCTGCACACTTGATACATCCTCTTACCAAAAGTTTTAACCGAGTGTCTAGATAAAATAAACTTCCTAGACTCCAAATTCTTATTGTTGAATTGATGATCAAGATGCCTTGTATTTTCATTGTACCCACAATTTGAATGCAAGGTTAACTTCAGAATACAGATGATAAATTTCTTTTATCTTCCCTACTAGAACTATTTTTGGTGATTTTATTGTCCTCATACATTGATATGCAGTTCTATGTTTTCATTTGTGCCTTTATAATAGTATTGAAGTAACATCTTTTGCTATCTACTGATTGAAATTCTGATTAGGAATTGGGAACTTACTGCACCGTGGACTGGGGCACGCATAAAAGTGCCTGCAAAGTTCATTGTGGGAGACCTGGACCTAACCTATCACTCACCTGGAGCCCAGGACTTCATACATAAGGGTGGGTTGAAGAATTATGTACCATTACTCGATGAAGTTGTTGTGATGAAAGAAGTAGGCCATTTCATCAACGAGGAAAAACCCACTGAAATCACCGAGAACATTTGCGATTTTATCACAAAGTTCTGACACAGAGTGTGAAATTATGTAATTGTTCCAGTTGCAATCATCTTCTCTCTGTAACTCCACCGTAACTTCTTGTTGGAGCTTATGAAGGTTGCCTATGTTTCAGTTCTCAGTGGTCCTGTCAAGTGCATTGCATACAGGTTTTCATGCCTTAAGTTTTTATTCATTGTGTGTGTGTGTATATATATATATATATATAATCTACAATAATTTCCTGTGCCTAGAGAATACAAATGGTCACTCAAAGCTTTGAGATGCCAATTACAAGGTCTTAGAAGTATGAAGTCAAAATCTTGAGAATATGAGACTAAATCATGCTTTTACATGTGTTAAAAATACAAATTATATTTCCAAATAATTTGAACATAGAAATATATGATCCGATGTATGCTGCATGTTTTAGTAGTTCTTTTCATTAAGTTGAGGGTTGCCTTGATTCTTGAATTTCTCTTGTATCAGCTTTTATAGTTCTTTAGTGTTTCATTATGTTGTGCAGCTTTTGAAATTTTTTGTTGTATGACCTTTAAAGATGTTGTCATATTTTGAAGATTAAGTGAAATATAAATCAGTTATGGGGTTATAAGTCTATTTAACCATTTTTATTTAGAAAGAACAAAGAATATGAAAATATTCCTTATTTTTTATTTTCTTTAAAAGAATATAACCGCAAAATCAAGATTTTGAACGACGTGTCTATTTATCTATAGTTTTTGCATTATTTAAGTGGCCACAAAAAAATGATATAAAGAAGTGGATAAACAATAATAAACATTCATACCAAATTATATTAATTTTTATTTTCTTTATTTCACTCAAGAATTATAAATGCACACTAAATGTTGACCATGTTAACCTTTTGACTGTACCTGATTTGTCATTCATTAGGATGTCGAATTTAATATAAACCCACGACTTACTATATATTCAAATCTATGCGATATATATATATATATATATATATATATATATATATATATATATATATATATATATATAATGCGCAATCAACTCATCATGAGATTTAATTGCCAAATAAATAAATAAAATTTTCGGCCGTGACAATTTAATGCGTCGAAAGATATGCACCGACACGGCACCCTTTTGTGGAATTTCTTTGACTTTCTAATATATAATGATTCTGAGGCATAGAAGGAAGGAGTCAGAGAATTGGTCCAAAACATCGCGCTCCATCAATCTGTTCTTTCCGTGAACACCCGACTCTCTTGCGTGGGGGATAGCCTTCTCTTCGCGGATGGACGAGCCGGGGTCGCTGAGGCGGGCGCTGATCGATTCCCTGGCCGGAGCCATCTCTGGTGGGATCAGCCGGACGGTGACTTCCCCGTTGGACGTTATCAAGATTAGGTTCCAGGTTCGTCTCTGTTTCGTTGGATAAATCCAGTTATTGTCTTTGAAGCGATTTTTCTTCTGATGATCTTTTGTCTGTTCGAAAGAATTTGCGCGTCTTGTACTTTAGGTTTAAGGGTCGTAGTAAAGGGCACAAGAAAGTGGTTATATGATTGGATTGGTTTTGTTTTGTTATATTGACTAAATGTTCCTAGACTTTGTATCAAGTACAATACCTTGTGGAAAGCTAGCCCTACTGAATTCTAAGGCAATATCTATTATGTGACCGACTCCTAGTTTTGCCATAATGTCTCGTGGGGGTCTTCGTTTGGAAAAGAAAAGAGTAAATCCACTTGATCCTTGGAATTAGCTTATTTTTTGGTCTGTAGTTTAAGTGGATGTTTGCTGCATATTGGAAGGAAAAGAGTTCCTGTGTACTTTGATTCATTGATTAACACATTGAAGCTTGAAATAAATGAAGAAATTATTAACGGTGATGCCAGACAGAAACATTTTGTTTCACTTGCTTATTGGTAATATTTGTTCTTTCTTGTTGCTATATTGATGGCCCTCCCAGTCATTATTGAAAATGAGACTCCATAGAAATCATTACTTCACTTTGTACGTGTGAAGACTTCTCTCTTATACTTGCATAACCACAATGTGAATATAAAGTTGAGAGCCTAATTGCATCACTTAAACTTTTCCTTGAGAATGGGGATATTTAAATTATAATTTATTTTTTGTTTGTATTTATATTAGCAGCTGATAGCCTATACTACTTCATAGGTTATACTACTTTATAGGTCAATAAGGTGTTTAGGTCTGGTATTCCACACTTTCGCTAATCCATTAGGTTGTTGTCTATCCAAGTACTTTGCTTTTCTACCTTATAATTAATATAAGAAGTTTTGTATTAAAGCTATTATGTTGTTTCCACTCAATTTGCTCCTGCTGTAAGTTTAAGGCAGCCAAAGCTTATTAGAGGAAATGCTCTAGATTTTGGATGGGAAGACCTTATTTTACGCATAAAATATAGTAACGTAATTCATAAGAGCCTTTTCTTTCAATTTTTTAAAAGCATCCTGCCTCCTTACTGCATAGCAATCATGTGGTAGACATTTTACGCTAATAAAATCGTTTTCTTCTTTTGAGTGCAATAATTGTTTTCAATAGTTACAACTGAATGTAATGCTTTTCCTTTGAGAATGAAGTAGTCCTTGTTTGTTTGAATTAGATATATTTATAATTCAAAGAGTGTTTTCTTTCCTATTCCTTGTTCACTATTTAAGGTAGAAAGATTAACTTTCATGTTTCTGGATCTTGTTCTATGCTCGAACATAACTAATAAATTCTTTAGTAGCTGATTTTCAGGTTCAGTTAGAGCCAACATCCTCATGGGCACTACTACATAGGGATTCATATGGGTCCTCAAAATATACTGGAATTTTGCAATCTTCTAAAGTCATTTTACGAGAGGAAGGTTTGACGGTATGAATTTCTGCAGACAATGTGATTCTTGTTTTTTTTTTCTTTATAATTTCTCTCTTTCATCACCAATATTTTTTTAAGTATGTCCTTTAATTTTATCAAGAAAATAATATGAAAATATGACTTATTTGTATGGCTTTGAAGTTTAAATATGATCTGACTTAGATGCATGTATCCTTGATTTTTTGACGTATTTTCCTACCATCACCAATCCTCTCAAGGTGTTGGATGATCTGGTAGCCATGGCTTTAAAAAAGACTGATGGCTTTCATTCTATACCTGGATTGCAGAGATCATGGTCAAATCAGATTCTGCATGCAAGTATTCCATTTATATTATGAAATTAGAATCTATCTCGTAGCTCTCTGAGCTTATTGCTGGAAATGCTCCTAAAGATCATCTGTCCTTACTCCAAATTCACTGTCTTGGAAATGCACTTGTGGAGACTGTCATGTTTAAGTTCTTAACGTGAAAGAGGAAGGAAAATGGAGTTTGGGGGTGTATGAGGTAAAAATGAAAAGGTGTATCATATTCTGTTCAGGTCAAGTCATTTTTGCATGAAATTTCAGTAAAATCTTCATTTGGATAAGTGTAAGGACTTCCCTGGAATACTGGCTTAAAAAGAATATATGGAGGTTTGTAAAAAAAATAAAGAATAATAGCTCTTTCAATTATTTATGTGCAAAAAGAATTCAAATAGATTCACAAAGATGCTTCTGATTCATGTGAAAAAATAAACAAAGATTTTCTATATTTTTTCTCAATTTCCTCTTCTCTTCCCCCTTAAATGTCTCCTGTCCTTTTCTCATTTTCAGATGATATTAAATTAGTTTAAGAAAGTGAGAGCTGTGTTAGTGGCTGGGTCACCACATTATGCATATTTAGTATGCATATATAGATCGATATGCCACTAGCTCATCTTTATCTAAATTGTAGAAAATAAAGTGGACCATAAAAATATAAAAATTAATTAACTAGATAGATTTCAAGCAGTATAATCCAATTCTATGGATTATGGCATAACATATCTTAGTGGTTAAGCATTTTATCGCAATTTGATATGCAATTATATGAAATTATGGCAAAGTGCACTTGTAATTGATATAACACAAATGGAATTTATGATGTGCCAATTACTATTAAATTAACAAACAAGATACATATATGGTCTAATTACTGATATAAAATGTGACTTTATATCATTTAGCAAGATGACAAGTTGTACTGAATAACAAGTCATACTCATGGTTGTAGTAACTAGGATGTTTTCCTTTTTTTTAATTTTCTTCTGGTTTAACTACATTCTTATACTTCCCCTTCCCTTCACTCCTCTCCTCTTCTTTTGCTTTTTTAAAGGCTATCAAATAATTTAAAATTGGCTAAAAACATCCAATTCTGATTGAGTTTGATCGATTCTATCTGATTTTAACAAATTTTTGGTTACAAGGCTGAGAAATCAGCAAAAATTGGATCCGTCTACAATTGACATCGGCACAGATTGGGCATATCATATTGGAATAAATTGATATTGCAAGGTATGAGGTCCAATTCAAAAAAGAACACCAATTGAAATCCCACTGCCATTCTAACACAAAATTTGGTGCACACAGAAACAGATCGACAATACTTATTCTTCTTGGATCCACAAATAAAAGAAAAGAAAAATTAAAATAGTTGATTGGCTAATGGTGGAAAAACCAAGAATGCTTACTGTTTCCTTTATAAATTGTACATATTTTTTGCTTTGAATTTTGATACTGGCGTGATGCTGAATGGGGGTAAAGTAGAATAGAACTCGAAAGAAAACCGATAGTACAGTTTTTTTGGATGGAAAATGTACAAACTCAATAAATTCGAAAAACAGCTCACCACTCAGTTCAAAATCACAAAGGGATACAGAAAGTTCACCACCCAAAGGAAATTAAACAAGGATACAGAATTGAAAATAAAAGACTAACCACTCAAGGAAGCATCCAAGAGATACAGAGTTTAAGCGAGAACTCCAAGAGAGCTTCTGCAAAATATCATCAGTTTCTAAAGTTTTTTCTAAGTCCTAAACACCAAAATAAATACTAGTACATGAAACAACCCTTCATGCATAGGGAGTTTCGAAATTAAGTGTTTATAGTTGCTAACCAACTCCTTTAATGCATTCCTTGGTCATGAAGAAAAGTTCACAGCTGCTAACCAACTCCTTTAATGCATTCCTTTGTCATGAAGAAAAGCACCTTGAAACAGTTTTAACTTTGTGCATGGAATATGCTGATGAGCTGTCAT